TACCAATAATGCAGGGGGGCAGAGCAACAGCAGTAGACGTTCATAGGAATGCGCCAGCTACTCTACCAAGCAACTTAGTTAGTCCTCATTTTTACACACAAAGGAGATACTAACATCCTATTCACATGTGAACACACACACATGTATCTTCTCAAAGAGAGAAAGTGAAATTCTCCTATCTGTATTTGTCTCTCTGTGCATTTGTGTGTGTGTGTCTGAGTGTGTACATACAAGTGCACAGATAAAAGAATACAGACCAGAAGAATTTCACTTCCGGCTTTGAGAAAATGACTTCGCTGTCACACCACACAGCAGCCATTTAAGTCTGTCCTCTCGAGGTTGCAGAGATGTCTCAGCTGTTCTTCCAGAGGACCCGGGTTTGAGTCTCAGCACCCAAAGGCTGTTAACAACTGTATGTGCCTTAAATTCCAACGGATACAGTGCTCTCTTTGGCCTGTGTGGGCACAGCACACATGAGGCACACTTAATTACATGAAAGCAAGACCCAAACACATAAAAAAAATAATATTTTTAACTAAGTAAATGAATCGGGGCTCACTGGCTGTGCTTTTCTGATCTTGTAAGTCAATAACTAGAATTACTATACACTCTTTCTCTGCATTTGGAGCAAATGTCTTCATTTGCTTCAGGACTCGACCTGAAGACTTCATTACAGCAATCTTTATTTGCCCTTCTTAGATGAACCCACCTCAACACCTAACTAGAAACTTCATAAGAAAGTAAAAGCAGAAGAGCAAATGTGTGGTACGGGAGGAGGAGGGGAGGGCTCACAGGGAGGAGGCAAAGGGGGAGCTAATGAGCATGTGACTAACCATCTCCTCTAAGCTCCCTCACTGACATCTCCAGCAACCTCCAGCCCATCGGCTGCCTCTGTTTTTCTCAGAGGCAGAGGCAGTCACCACTGCCCCCTTCCTCGAATTTCAGAGTTTTATAGGCCCCAAGAACATAGACTTTAAGTTTTAGAAGAAGGCATTAGCACACAATTAAAGGGTTTGTGAATGCCCCCCCCCTCTCATCCACCAGATCTCGTGGCATCAGTTCTTCTTGTGTGGGACTTCTGGAGGCCAGGGCAGGTCATCAGCAATGGGAACGGGAAGCATCCAGCTTTCGTTCAAACTCTGACAGGAAGAACCACACGACTGAGCCTATCTTCCACACACTGACCTTCTCAGTCTTCTCTCGTGGATGCCCCACTGGGTAGCCAATGAGAGCACCACACTCTCCACCAGCCTCTCAACACCACTGCAGACAATCTGCAGACAGAGCTTCTCAAATTCTGGTCAATTTCTGATTCTCAGTGAGAGGCCTCCGTGATAGCTGTGCTTGGGATGGGGGTGGGAGGATTCTTTCCAATATATCTCGTGGTGCTCAGCTTTACAACAAAACAACAAATTTGTTGCCTACAGCACATGAAAAATTCCTGGGATCTACACGTCAACTGCTGTTCGCTTATGTGGGGGTGATAAAAGCAAACCCAATGCCAATGCTAAAAAGTCCTTGAGACTGTGACCCACCAAATACCCATGCAGAGAGGTCTCTAGAGTTTTGGCAGAAATTTTGCTGGGCAAAAACTACAACTTTAGAAGCATTCTAAGAACCTGGTCTAGTAGAGGAGCCGTTACTCTTCCACCGGAAACTCCAGAGGGTGCCACCCTCCATCAGAGGGTCCAGCAGCTAAGGCCACCAATAGAGACAGCTTTGAGGGATGATTCACTGTGTCCTTGACTGGGCCCAGCTTGAACAAACAAGATTCACTCCTATCAAAATATGCCATGGGCCTTTGGTGACAAAGACTCAGGCTAAAACAAAAGTGAATTGAGTCTAATGCTGACATATTACATAAATGAATATAAAAGAGACCAAAACCAACCCAGAACACACAGTCTTTTCCTTGAGGCCAGGGAAAGCCTCATTTCACAGACCAAGGAGGAGGACCGCATGTGAAAGTCATGTATGAACAATTCACATATGGCACGCAGGAACAGCCTACTAGAGGGCATGCGACATGGTGCCACCCGTTTCCTCTCTCTGGGTGACTGTAAAATGACGATAAAGTGGGTGTGAGCTAGAAGAGTGGAAAGGTCCTCTGCCAGTGGACCACCCACGCGGTGCTGAAGAGGCCCGCGCATTCCTATACACTCAGTACTCCGGGCCTCTCTGTGGTCTGAAGGACACTGATTAGCTTAAGATCATTTTCCTGAGGAGGGAAAGCGAGAGAGTGATGTCTTCTACAGATAAATTTATAAGCAGAAAAATGTCCACAAGTGACGAAATAGTACCTGACAACACTGGCAAGGAGCACGGGAGTCCAGCTAATTATCTGTTTTCCTCTGACTTTTACTAAAGACAGCTTAGTCTGAGCCCAACTAGACTCCAAAATCTCGATGATATACATGTTTATATGTGTGCACTTGTGCAGGTGTGTGCACACACACGTGTGCACTTGCACGGCTGTGTGTTCACACGTGTGCACTTGTGCGGCTGTGTGTTCACACGTGTGCACTTGCGCGGCTGTGTGTTCACACGTGTGCACTTGTGCAGGTGTGTGCACACACACGTGTGCACTTGTGCGGCTGTGTGTTCACACGTGTGCACTTGTGCGGCTGTGTGTTCCTCTGTCACTCCGTGGGAACCACTCATCTCGGTTTTTGGAGACAGACTTTCACTGAGACCTGGGACTTCCTGACTGGACAAGTGACTGGTGGGCCAGGGAGCCCCATGGACCAGCTTGTAACATTTCTTATGCACTCTAGGATTGCAAGCGTGCACCCCCACAGCCAGCCTTTACATGGGTGCCGGGGGTGGGAAGTCTACAGTATCCGCTTGTGCGGTCAGCACTTTTGCACCTGAGACCTCTCCCCGGTCCGAAATGTTCCATTTTATAGCAAGCACGACTACAAGTGTGTGGGAAGGAGGATTGTTTATTCTACCCACTTTCACTGCCAGGCCAGAACGCTTCTCATGCCTGACACGGAAAGAGTTCCACAAGATAAACGCCATTGAAGACGTTTAACAATAAACAACAGGAACAAGGCATCCACTCACGTTTTAGGTTTAGCAATGTCTGAAGATATTGTATGTGAACATACACTGTAATTACGCTTGTTTGGAAGATTTTTTTTCAACAGCAGAAATGACACCACAGAGCAGCGGCACTGCTGGGGTGAGAGACAAAGCACCAGACACCGCACGCATTTTCAGTGCTTCACACCGAGGAGGCTGTGTGACTGTACCTATGGAACTACGTACAAGAGGCTGTGTGACTGTACCTATGGAACTACGTACGAGAGGCTGTGTGACTGTACCTATGGAACTACGTCCAAGAGGCTGTGTGACTGTACCTATGGAACTACGTACGAGAGGCTGTGTGACTGTACCTATGGAACTACGTACGAGAGGCTGTGTGACTGTACCTATGGAACTACGTACGAGAGGCTGTGTGACTGTACCTATGGAACTACGTACGAGAGGCTGTGTGACTGTACCTATGGAACTACATACGAGAGGCTGTGTGACTGTACCTATGGAACTACGTCCAAGAGGCTGTGTGACTGTACCTATGGAACTACGTACGAGAGGCTGTGTGACTGTACCTATGGAACTACGTACAAGAGGCTGTGTGACTGTACCTATGGAACTACGTACGAGAGGCTGTGTGACTGTACCTATGGAACTACATACGAGAGGCTGTGTGACTGTACCTATGGAACTACGTCCGAGAGGCTGTGTGACTGTACCTATGGAACTACGTACGAGAGGCTGTGTGACTGTACCTATGGAACTACATACGAGAGGCTGTGTGACTGTACCTATGGAACTACATACGAGAGGCTGTGTGACTGTACCTATGGAACTACGTCCGAGAAGCTGTGTGACTGTACCTATGGAACTATGTCCGAGAGGCTGTGTGACTGTACCTATGGAACTACGTCCGAGAGGCTGTGTGACTGTACCTATGGAACTATGTACGAGAGGCTGTGTGACTGTACCTATGGAACTACGAGAGACTGTAACTTTTCAAGAACGCATGAAATAAACAAGCAGGGAGCAGCCACCATATTTCAAACCAACTTCAAATTATAGACAAACCGGAATATAATGCTAAGATTGTATTATCAGAAAAGCACAGGACAGACTTGAAAAATAAAAATAACCTTGAAGGGAAAAACAAGAATAAATCTCTAGCAATCAAAATAATCACATTTAAGTTCACCAGATAGGTAATTTCGAACGTATACTTTAAAATAACTGGGGGATGTTATAAAATCCGTGTTTTACAAATTTCAAGGTAAATAGCAAAGTCATCTTCCAATGTAAAACATGACGACCATTAAAAAGAAATGGACAAAGACAGCAAACCCAGAGCAGTGTGGGTAGTGCCGGGCATGCGCCATCCCTGTCCACTGCATCCTTGCTGCCTGGGCCAAAGCAAACGTGCAGGCTCATTCTCAATCAGGATACTTCATGTAACTCCCACTAACACAGCACAGATGAACACTAAGTAAGTCTGTTTTCTTTCTTTAACCCCAGATTCCACTAATCTGATCTTTAAATTATTTTAAGTCAGAAACTGATGTGTTTTCAAATTATTTAAAAGAATTCCAATAGATTTTTTTCACTTGACTAAAACAACCAACATTAAAAATAAGTCCAACAATAAAATGAAATTCTTCAGTAGAAAGTAATGAAATAGATATGCGGTGCTCTTTTGAGAAAAGACAGTGAATTCTCCAAAGTAGATGTCTCCAGCACCATTATTGGAAAAGCAGAAAAGACCCTTTTCGGTCCAGGCAATACAGAATTCCTTCATTGCCTGCTCGTTTAGACAGGCAGTGACAACAGGCATTAACCGTCTACAGTGTACCATCACGGTTCTAACAGTCTTCAATGTACCATGGAGGCTCTAGACATGTTTGCAGACAGCAAAGGGTAAAGGACTGACTCACAGCACGAACACAGAGACGAATCTTCAAACTTACTTTTGCAAAGGCTTCAAAAAGGTCAAAAGATGGCGGCAGTTGAGAAGCATCCTGAATCTCTTCTCTCATGAAATGCTGGAATGTCATTGCAAGTTGCCTCAGGCCCTCTTTCTTATCTTCGGTGAGTTTGTCAATATCTTTTTTGTAAAGAGAATAAAGAGTATGATCACCAAGTGGACATCATGGATAATTTTCAGGTGTGCAATGATGGCTATTAAACAAGATCTTTCCTGACATGCAATCTATCCTGACAACTACAAATCATGAAACATATCATACCGGTTAAATTCTATCCAGCTTTATCTACAAAACAGATCACAGTGCTATCGAACGAACAAGCAAACAAATAAATAAATAAATGCACAGACGGGCTCTAAAGTACAGCAACCCAAACCAGCTGCGCGTTACCAGATTTTGTACATCACGGAGCACAGCTGTCCCGTCATAAATCCTAATTAAAGCAGTGAATTTAAACTGACTTTTCCCCATAATAATTCATGAGTAGGTCACAACTGACTCATAAACAGTATTATCTGAAAGGTTAAAAAGGCAGAAAATTAGATATCCGAAGTTCATATGAAGTTTAAACAATCGAAGTTTGTCAGACAAAATGTGTACCATAACAAAAATCTGCCCAGGTTGGACAAACAGAGACAGGGATGGAAGGCTATGCTTCTTCTCCTTACACTGGGGTTAAAGAGAAAGACACCAGACATAAGAAAAGAACTAAAGCTGATAGTAATTCTGTAATGTTCTAGGATACAAAACTGGCATAAAAAAAATAATTCTGTGATGTTCCAGGGTACAAAACCAGCATAAAAGTTACTAAGATTTTTTTTCTTCTTTAAGAAAGGGTTTCTCTGTCCTAGCACTCTCTCTGTAGACCAGGCTGGCCTTGAACTCACAGAGATCTGCCTGCCTCTGCCTCCAGAGTGCTGGGATTGATTAAAGGCATGCGCCACTACCGCCCGGCTAGACTTTATATACATTAATGGCAAACTTAATGACAAAATAAACAAAATAATGTGCGTCACAACTGTGACCCTAAAATGAGAAATGCAGGAAGAGATTTAACCAGAGGAGCGAAACCCTCTGCAACTACAAAATTCTGATGAAAGAAGCTAAAGAGGAGGAAGAGAGGGAGGGAGGGAGGGAGGGAGGGAGGGAGGGAGGGAGAAGGGAAGAGAGGAAGGAGGGAGGGAGAGAGGGATGGACAGACGGACGGACAGACGGACGGAGAAAGAACATAAATATTAAAGAAAACAGCCCATGTGCATGAGTTAGAACAATTAACATTGTTAAGACATCCACACTCTCCCAGGTGACTTAAGAACTCAATGTGATTCCTAGAGATCAACAATGACAACCTTCCCAAGAACAGGAGAAACATTTGGAAAGCCTACGCCACCCAGAGTAGCAATGATAGAAACGTGACATATCTCATGTGAGAAACATGCTACAAGTCCATCATCACTGAAGAACATGCCATGGACATGACAGCAGACCTGCCCATCACTGCACCAGAGCACAGAGGCCAGAAATCATCTGTGCCCACACCACATGACTCTCGGCAAAGTTGCTACAAATACACATTAAAGGAAAAGATGGCACCTTCAATAAATCGTGCCAGGAAAGTAGATATCCATGTATAGAAGAACGAAACTAGAACTCTATTTCTCTTCATACACAAAGGCAATATTAAACGTATCAAAAACATAAATATATGACCAAAACCATGAAACGTTTAATGAACAAACATAAAAGAAAAGGTTTAGGACATTGATCTGAGCACAAAGCTTTTGACTATAACCACAAAATACTACCAAGAGAAACAGAAATTAAAAAACAAGACCCAATAAACAATAATAAAAATATCTGCATAAAGAATACAATCAGGCCTGGCGGTGGTGGCGCACACCTTTAATCCCAGCACTTGGGAGGCAGAGGCAGGTGGATCTCTATGGGTTCGAGGCCAGCCTGGTCCACAAGAGCTAGTTCCAGGATAGGCACCAAAGCTGCAGAGAAACCCTGTCTCAAAAAACCAAAAATAATTAAAAACAAAAAAGAATACAATCAGTACAGCACAGAGACAACCTACATAACAGACGAAAACCAGCAAGTCATTCATCACAAGGGACTAATATTTAGACTACATACAGAATTCAAAATAACTCAGTAGCTGGGAGAGGAGGGGCAGTGGGGGAGGAATCGGGAAGAAGGGAGGGAGCAGAAACTTCGATTAGAAAGTAAAAACAAAAAATAAATAAATAAACAAGACGGCGACAAAAAATGAACTCAATAGCAATATGAAATGATGAAGGGAAGTACACGCTCTCAAAAGATAAACAAACGGTGATCGGACGCATGACAAAATATTCCACAGCGCTAATTACACTAAACTAAAACAATGAGATGTCATCTCACTCTGGCTAGAATGGTTATTATCCAAAAGCATAAAATAACAAATCCTGGCACAGATGCAGAAACACGGGCAAACTCCTCGACAATGCTGTGCAGACAGTGTGTAGAACAGTGCTATGTCAAATTTACTGCAGCTCTGCATACAATACTCAAAACAAGGAATGAGGATGAATGGAAAAGAAAATAAGGCACATCTATACAGCAGCATACTACCAAGGCGTTCAAAAAAATAGTGGGACAAGATTGGAGATCACAGTGTTAAGTGAAATCAGCCAGGCACAGGAAGACAAACATCGCACATCCCCATTCACTGGAGGAAGTTATAAAAGGTTGCCTAGCTTCCTTTCTGCTGCTGTGATAAAACACTGACCAAAAGCAACTTAGGAGAAGAAAGGGTTCATCTGGCTTACAGTTCCAGGTCAGTCACTGAGGGAGGTCGGGGCGGAACTGAAGGCCCAGAAGGAACAGAAGCCATGGATGGACACTGCTTGGTGACTCTCTCTCTGGCGCACTCACAGACACAGGCTTACCTAGTTGTCCTATACAGCCCAGGACCACTTGCTCAAGGAATGGTGAAGAACGATTAATAAAAGCTCAGCGAGAGAAATTGGGGTTTGACCTGAAGACCCGAAAAGCAAAGCAGCCAGCCATGGCTCTTACCTCGACCTCAATCCAAAATGGAGATCCTGCCTCCAGTAATCTCAGAATGAGACTGTATGTGAGCTGTCTCCTTTTGTCTTATTTCCTCCCTAGGCCTGGGATTAAAGGTGTGCACCGCCCAGTTTCTAAGGCAACTAGTGTGGCTGCTGGGATTAAAACTGTGTGTCACCACTGCCTGGTCTGTATGGGATTAAAGGTGTGTGTCACCACTGCCTGGTCTGTATGGGATTAAAGGTGTGTGTCACCACTGCCTGGTCTGTAAGGCTGACCAGCAGGGCTCTTTTACTGTCTGATCTTCAGGCAAGCTTTATTTATTAAAACACAAATGAAATACCCTACAGAATGGGTTGGGCTCTCCTACATGCACTAGTAACTAGATGATCCCACGCAGAACTGTTCACGCACCCACCAGATCTAAGCAGTTCTCATCTGAGCCTTCTCCTCTCGGGTGACTGAATCGAGTTGACAAATGTAGTCTGGAAATAAGTGGATCTCAAACAAAACAGTGAAACAGTGATCACTGGATGCGAGAAAGGACAGTGGGATCAGAGGGAAGAGAGGTTAGGTGATGGGTACCAAAATACAGCTAGCTGGGAGGAATCCATACTGCTATTCCATAGCATACAGGCTTAAGCCCTTACCAGATGAAAATAGTCAAAGGGTTTCCAACACAAAATCATGACACACTTCTGACATAAAACACCTGTCATTCTGATTATTTTCATTACTTATTATATATTTATGCTGAATTACTCTACTGAAACATTTCAACTTCCAAAAGGTTCCCAATATACAGAATGATACACTTTTTGAAATGGTAATGCTAACTACCCCGATTTTACTGTTACATATTATATACATACACTGGACACCATAAATTTGTTTAGATACTTTATGTGTCGATTACATTTTCCTAAAAAGCACACATAAAAAGAGATTTTTCTAAAGCCAGTATGGATTCCTTGAGCATTATCTTAAATTATCATACCACATTTAAATTATATGCCATTGCAAATGACATATTAAGGCTAAGAGTGCACTATCACGCTAATAACATCTGAGAGCATTTCACCAAAGGCAATGCAATGGTTTGCTCCTGGCAGAGCTAATGCTAATAGTCAAATTCACGGCAAATGGTGTTAATTACACAGCAGTACTGCAAAGAAAAATGACTAATTAGTTCTCTATTAAAACTTGAAAAGACACATCAGATTGAACTAACGCTCCTCCTCATGTCAGGTGTGCATATTTTCTTCCAATTATTTGTCCAACAGAATAATTAGCCCATGATTTCCTAAATAATAATTTATTACCATTGACACTTGAGGTCCTAGAACTGTAAATCTAGAGATCATCTTCTCATTCATCTCTATCCAGAAGTGGTAAACAGTGTAACCAATGTAGTCTCTATGTTCTGGCTAGTTTGAGACTAGAACCACTTACACCCTCAGTGAAGAGGACCCGTGGCTGCACAGAAGCAAAATAAACCTGACTGTACTTGACACCCACACCTGGGAAGCCATAGGGCACCCATGGCAGCCGGCACCACCATGGTAGCTCAGGAAAAGAACAATGCTCACCACTGTCACAGAGCCTGAGTCATCTGTACCTGCAGCTTTTCTTAGCATCTAAAGGGCTGACGACACCAAGGCATTCCCTGGGGTGACACTTTTTGCTGTCACTCTTCGCTAACATGGAGAGCAAACCAAGAAAGGGAAGAAGGGGATAAAGGGAGGCGAAACAGAAGACAAATGTTGTCACTTAGGCTAACAGCTATGTTACTAACACACTGAGTGAGATCCCTCGGTCCTGCTCAGGAGGAAATCATGAGTACTCCCTCGTACGGCAAAGGATTATGGGTTGGATTGATAGATTCAAAAGATCACAGCTTCCATTCATAAAACCTAGAAGTGCATAAATGGAGACCTTAGAAGCTAAAGACAGCGCACTGGGTAGGGGACTCAGAGGCATGGAGCCCTGGACTCCAAGTGCGACCAAACTGACATAAGGTGGCTACTGAAGCCCTTGGCTCTAAGCAACATCTGTGACAGCAGCAGCTGGCAGCAGTTCGGCACCAGCTAAGCATGACAGCTTGAGCCTCGGGTATCAGGACGCCAGCGCTAGCATCCTAGCTCTCAAGCACCTTAGATGTAGAAGGCTTCTATCTTCAAGGTGCGGCAATTCCCAGGAACCCTTCCAGTGACCAAGGCCCTAGCCTCTTGCCCACTGACTTCTCAAGTCTTCGCTTCTCCAACCATTACACTGCTTCTGCTCTGTACCCTGAGCCGGATACTCTTCAGCCATCCTTCACAGGTACTGTTCCACTACCATCGACTTCCCCTGTGTTACCAGTCCAGACCACCACTCTATCCATGACATAAAAAAAGAAAAAAAAAATCACAGGTAGGTGAGAGAAGTCCCTTTAGGAGAAGCTTTTTATTGGGTTAACTGTTAAAAAACCACTCAGCTCAGGAGGGAGTCATCACGTTGACTTGAAAACTAGGTGACCAGCCTAATAATGGAATAGAGGAAGTAGGGCATGCAAATGAAGGGTTGTATTTGCACCAATCAAAGAACAGTTTTTTAGTTTGACCAATCAAACAGCTTCTTTCTGAGTTCATAAAGTGATGGTCCCACTCCCATCTTGAACAATAGAGGCAGCAGAGTCATCTAAAGTTCACCAGGCTTGGCTCAGGCTCCTGTCTTCTCAGGCCAGTGCATGGTGTCTGGAGTGGTTGTGACCCGAGCAACGCCTCCTGAAGAGGAAGGAGTCCTTCTAGGTGGAGCATTCGCAGGGTGATCACTACATGCCCAAAACAGCCTCACTTAGACAAGCACAATCCAGCCAGATACCAGAAGAGGGACTGCTTGGCTGACAACTCCCTGCTCTAGGCTTCCGGCAGAAGAGAGGGGTTCACTGATAGAAGAGAAAGTGGGAAGTACTCTACAACACATGGGCACAGGAGACCACTTCCTGCGTATAACCCCAGCAGCACAGACATTAAGGGCCTCATTGAATAAATGGGACCTCCTGAGACTGAGAAGCTTCTGTAAAGCAAAGGACACTGTCACTAAGACACAAAGGCAACCCACTGACTGGGAGAAGATCTCCACCAACCCCGCAACTGACAAAGGTCTGATCTCCAAAATATATAAAGAACTCAAGAAACTAGACCGTAAAAGGCTAATCAACCCAATTATAAAATGGGGCACTGAGCTGAACAGAGAATTCTCAACAGAAGAAGTTCAAATGGCCAAAAGACACTTAAGGTCATCTCAACTTCCTTAGCGATCAGGGAAATGCAAATCAAGACAACTTTAAGATACCATCTTACACCTGTCAGAATGGCTAAAATAAAAAACACCAATGATAGCCTTTGTTGGAGAGGTTGTGGAGAAAGGGGTACACTCATCCATTGCTGGTGGGAATGCAAACTTGTGCAACCACTCTGGAAAGCAGTGTGGCGGTTTCTCAGGAAATTCAGGATCAACCTACCCCTGGACCCAGCAATACCACTCTTGGGAATATACCCAAGAGAGGCCCTATCATACAACAAAAGTATATGCTCAACTATGTTCATAGCAGCATTGTTTGTAATAGCCAGAACCTGGAAACAACCTAGATGCCCTTCAATGGAAGAATGGATGAAGAAAGTATGGAATATATACATATTAGAGTACTACTCAGCAGTAAAAAACAAGGACTTCTTGAATTTTGCATACAAATGGATGGAAATAGAAAACACTATCCTGAATGAGGTAAGCCAGACCCAAAAAGAGGAACATGGGATGTACTCACTCATATTTGGTTTCTAGCCATAAATAAATGACATTGAGCCTATAATTTGTTATCCTAGAGAAGCTAAATAAGGAGAACCCAAAGAAAAACATATAGGCATCCTCCTGGATATTAACCTTCATCAGGCGATGAAAGAAGACAGAGACAGAGACCCACATTGGAGCACCGGACTGAAATCTCAAGGTCCAAATCAGGAGCAGGTGGAGAGAGAGCACAAGCAAGAAACTCAGGACCGCGAGGGGTGCACCCACACACTGAGACAATGGGGATGTTCTATCGGGAACCCACTAAGGCCAGCTGGCCTGGGTCTGAAAAAGCATGGGATAAAACCGGACTTGCTGAACATAGTGGACAATGAGAACTACTGAGAACTCAAGAACAATGGCAATGTGTTTTTGATCCAACTGCATGTACTGGCTTTGGGAGAGCCTAGGCAGTTTGGATGCTCACCTTACTAGACCTGGATGAAGGTGGGTGGTCCTTGGACTTCCCACAGGTCAGGGAACCCTGATTGCTCTTTGGGCTGATGAGGGAGGGAGACTTGATAGGGGGAGGGGGAGGGAAATGGGAGGCGGTGGCAGGGAGGAGGCAGAAATCTTTAATAAATAAATAAATTAAAAAAAATAACAGCACATATAAAAAAAAAAGAAGAGAGGGGTTCATCTGCCATCATTTAAAGGTCTGGACTTCTGCTCTCACTGCAGGATTACAGATATTCATGGAAAGGACTGTATGGTGCTTATAACAAAGGTTAACAAAAGTCACAAACCTAACATTCTCACGATGTTGAATAATTCTTCATAGCGCCAACCCTCTACCACAGTTTCCCTATGAAGATGAGTCCATCTACCCAATTACATGACTATGCGTACTGTACATCTTTACAAACTTATGTGTTCCCAACCTACCCTAGATCAACTAGACAAACTTATGTGTTAGCTGTTTATCAAAGAAAAGACTTCTTCAGGTCTGTTTCACGTGATAAACACAGAAAAGTAAAGTCGTCATTAAAGCAGTATGTGGAGGTCACTCAGTGGCTAAGGGTATGCCTACCATGAGTGAGGCCCTAGACCTACAAGGTTCTCAACCCTCCTAACACTGCAAATCTTCAATACAGTTCCTCATACGTCGGTGACCCTAATCATAACACCATTTTCATTGCTACTTCATAGCTGGCATTTTACTACTGAGCACTTTCTCAGTTCCTATGACCATGGGAGTTGGTTTCTGATGGTTGTGGCCCACAGGCTGAGTGCCAGGACTGAACCTCTGGGGAGAGGAGACAATGGGAGGAGCGGGATAGAGAGAGGGAAGGAGGGAAGTTCAGTCGGCAAATGATAGGTTTAAAGATAGTCATGAGTAATCACTTACTGGACTCCAGATCGTAGAATGAGTAGAGTCTCTCTGACTCTGAGGGCTTCTCGTCCATCTGAGAAGGGGAAAGAGAAGATAAAGGTGACCGCTCCAATACATAAATAAGTATATTTGACCACACTTGGATAACTGGATGAAATTTTCGTGTTTGTTTTCAGACATGATACACTACTCCATCACTATGTAGCTCTGGCTGTCCTGGAAATGAGTCTGTAGACCAAGTGGGGCTCCAACGCACAGCAATCCACCTGCTTCAGCCTCCTGAGTACTGGGATTAAAGGTGTATATTACCATACCCAGCTACAACGAGATTTTTTAAAATATTATTTTCTATATGCCATTTTCATAGCTTCTTAAAAACATTTATTTATTCATGAACTTAGTGTGTGTGTGTGTGTGTGTGTGTGTGTGTGTGTGTGTGTCAGTGAATAACTTAAGAAGCCAGTTCTCTCCTTCCATCACATGGGTTCCAGAAACAGAACTCAGGCCCTCAGCTTGCAGCCAGCACCACTAAACACAGAGTCCTTTCTCCAGGCCTCTTCAGTTTTTCTTGGAGTTAGTTAGTAACAACCTTAAAAGCTGCCTTGCAACATCACCAAAGCAGTTTTATCTCTAAGTAAAGAACTCTTTACAAGAAGTTCCCATACTTTCACATTCTCAAAGCCTCTATCAAAGTTCAGAGTGGAGAAAAGGGAACAAAAAATCCATAGTCAATTAGTAAATGAAGGGACCAAATTAGAGCCTGCAGTAACCTGAGGCATTTACACCACAACCTAGTGGAATAATCTAAAAAAGCCCTCAGATCAGGATTTCAGACTCCACTGTGTTACAGCGGAAAGGACAACAGAATCACAAATCCTGGCTCTACAAAAGAAAAAAAAGGATTTGTCAATTAAATATATTACTATCTAATTATGTCCGCACTTGAAAAGACAGTAAAGGAATGCAGTGTATTCACAGAAAAAAAAAATGACAAAGAAAACACAGTAAGTACTAGCTTGTAATATCCGTTACCTCAAAACTCTACTCAAGAGAGAGATTACAAAATCTCTATAGACAGGAGCCGTACAGCCATGGTCATCAAGTCAATGACCAAGTTTCAAGGAACACGGGTTTCTTGTCTTACCATACTGCCTGGGACAATCCACCCTCCACCTTACCACAAATTCAGTCTGTCTTAAATACGGATAGGATCAGCAATCACTTTTATCAAATTAAATCCAGGCTTCTCTCGTGGGCTGTGTACTCACAAGTTTGACGATGACTCTCCCCAGAAGTCTCACGGAGTCAGGGGGATATCTGGGCTTGCAGCTTTTAAGACATCTGCACTCCCGCTTGTGGTCCGGCCAAGCTTTTTTCTAGAAAACAAGAGTAGGGAAGACGAAAGTTAACTTTCACTTAAGCCAATCCTGAACAACGAGTATCATCAACCTTAATTTAATTTCAAAAGCCTAAATATATCTGTAAAATACAAAACTCATTATGTAATACGGCAAATGATCCAGAATTTAGTCTTTGTCAAGTAGGTACCAGATTAAGGCACCAATACCTCAGTTTCATCTTGTCCTTTCATTTGCCCGCTGGTTATTACCATAATAAGCCTCTTGTTATTATGGGTTACAACAAATAATAAGAACCAGTGGGTTTTTCTTAGTGCTTAAACTTAATATTTAGCCATATACAAGCAGTTTTTTTTTTTTTTTTTTTTTTTTTAGTGAAAATGTCACTCAGACAGTGGTGGCGCACACCTAAACAGGTGGATCTCTGTAAGTTGAAGGCCAGCCTGGTCTACAGAGTGAGTTCCAGAAAAAACAAGGCTACACAAAGAAACCCTGTCTCAAAACACCAAAACCAAGACTTCCCCAACCCCCAAAAAAGAACAGACTCACAAATAAAAATATTACTTAGAGCCAGAAAATAAAACATGTGGCTAAGGGAAATCAAAACAGGGAAACTAACATTCTGAGTTTCCACCTTGCTGTAAAAAAGTCAGGAATACCAGAAGGGCTAACAGATGCAAAACTATGAAGACTGTATGAAAGGCACTAACCTATAATATGCAGTTTGCTAAAGAGTGTACAAGGTCATACATCTGCCCTGGCTTAATTATAACAGAGTCTTTGCATTTGAAAAAGCATGTATCTGGGAAGATAAATTTTCTGATCAGCACACTTGTGAGACTAACTACATGATGAGGTTGGGGAAAGCAGAGGGTTGGTCACCAATCTAGACATGAGTGTGAGCAGCTGGTCTCATATCCAGACGTAAGTGTGAGCAGCGGGCTGGTCTCATATCTAGATATGAGTATGAACAATGAGCTAGTCACATCTAGACATGAGTGTGAGCAGCGGGCTAGTCACCTATGTAGACATGAGTGTGAGCAGTGGACTGGTCTCATATCTAGACATGAGTGTGAGCAGTGGACTGGTCTCATATCTAGACATGAGTGTGAGCAGTGGACTGGTCTCATATCTAGATGTGAGTGTGAGCAGTGGGCTGGTCTCATATCTAGACATGAGTGTGAGCAGTGGACTGGTCTCATATCTAGATGTGAGTGTGAGCAGTGGGCTGGTCTTATATCTAGACATGAGTGTGAGCAGCAAGCTTCACCTATGCAGACATGAGTGTGAGCAGTGGACTGGTCTCATATCTAGATGTGAGTGTGAGCAGTGGACTGGTCTCATATCTAGATGAGAGTGTGAGCAGCGGGCTGGTCTCATATCTAGATGTGAGTGTGAGCAGTGGGCTGGTCTCATATCTAGACATGAGTGTGAGCAGCGGGCTGGTCTCATATCTAGATGTGAGTGGACTAAAGGGAAGGATTCAATCCCTGAGGAGAGGGTAACGGCTAGAGCAAGTCTCGTATGTTCTATTGCTGATATGCTTGATGCTCCATATATTCTTACTTCATAAAAATTATACACCTGACTCATATTTCTGTTCAAGTGAGCCTTCCGGTGTTCGCCTGGCCAGCCCCTAGCAACCTAGGCTTGGGAAACACTGTTTAACGAGTCTATCATTTCTGCCATGAACTCCATGCAGAGCTGCTCGCACTGATTATCATGATCCTGCTTAGTGTTTTTTGTAATCCTTCCATCCGCTGTTTATACCTCGCTCGCATCTGAGCTGGACCCATGTAGAGAAGTATGAGAAGAGCTGGGCACAGAGCTCAGCAATAGAGTGTGGAAGCCGTGGTTCAAGGCCTAGTGCCACCAGGAAAGATAAGAAGGAGGAAAAAAGAAGAAAAAGAGATGAGGTGCCTCAGGAGGCTGAGGAAGAAGGATTAGGAGTTCAAGGTCATCCTTGACTATGTAATAAGTTCAAGTCAACTTGCGCTGCGTGAAACCTTATCTTTTGGAAAAGAAAAATGAAAGTTGTAAAAGAAAAAGGTTGTGACAGCAGACATAAAATGTTAAAAATCACTGGTGTGATTGAGGCAAGTCCTCTGACATCCACTTAGCATTCTAGAATGTGCTAGACACATGCCTAAGTAATTAACAAAAGACAGTGCATTTCCTTTCCTCAGTAATCCAGACACAAGAAAGCATCCCAATATTAGAGAGAGAGAGAGAGAGCTAGGCTCATGACCTGGAATTTAAAACAAACTTCCCACACATAAACAAGGATAGTAAACCCCTTGGCACGTGCAGCATGAACACTAAGTGACTGCCGTGTTTGTACGTTTATTTAAGTTGCTTTATAAGCAAGGCAGAAACAGGGCATAATGACTTCCATAATTCTCATCTGGGAGAAAGGAAGACATATGCTACTAAATATTAAATCCCAGGAGTCTATTCCAGGAAGGCTGCTCATCAGACTGGACTCTGTCACAGTGCTTACATTTACAGCTCGAATGGCCTTGCGGGCAGCTACCTAACACCAGTACTTACCTGAAGGCATGATATTAAAATCTGACTTGGCCGAGCAAAAAAGCTTGTTGTGCAGGAAGGAGTACTGAACTGGCAACTGTCAATAACCAACATGCACAAAATTAGTTTGAAAAACACAAGACCATACATACACAACCTGTTTAGCAAAATATATTCCCCTACTAAAAATTCTAATGCATCAAAGAAGCATCCCATGGCTGTCATTGCCATCCTTGGGGATGTGGATTGCTATACACTGCCTAAGATGTGCTAAGATGTTTTCTTCCATCTGGTCTTCGAATGAAAGTAGGTTAAGCAGACCAATGCAGAGTTCTTCATTCTGATGAGAAACTACAATGCTGTTATCTTTAAACATTGAGTTACTCTGCTACTGGTGTGGGAAGTCCTTCTGTATATGTGTTCTTTTTACTGGTTAATGAATAAAGATGCTGTTTAGGCCAGTGGCTTAGCAGAATAGAGCTAGGTGGGGAAAACTAAACTGAATGCGGCCCTACTACATACAACATGGTACACTAATAGATTAGCACCTAGCCCAATCGTCATCAGAGAGGTTTCATCCAGCAACCGATGGGAGCAGATGTAGAGACCCACAGGCAAACATTAGGCGGAGCTCAGGGAACCCTGCTGAAGAGAGGGAGGTGTCAGAGGGGGTCAAGAAAACCATAAGAGCACGGCCCACAGAATCAACTAAATGGGGCTCATAGGGGCTCACAGAGATTGGAGCTACAACCACGGAGCCTGCATGAGTCTGCACCAGGTCCTCTGCATATATGTCATAGCTGTGTATCTCGGTGTTCTTTTTTTTTTTTTTTTGGTTTTTCAAGACAGGGTTTCTCTGTAGCTTTGGTGCCTGTCCCAGAACTAGCTCTTGTAGACCAGGCTGGCCTCGAACTCACAGAGATCCGCCTGCCTCTGCCTCCCGAGTGCTGGGATTAAAGGCGTGCGCCACCACCGCCCGGCTTGTATCTCGGTGTTCTTGTGTGACTAATGGGAGTGGAGGGTGTCCCTGACTCTTTGGCTGGCACTTAGGAGCCCTTTCCTCCCACTGGGTTACCTCATCCAGTCTTGATATGAGGATTTGTGTCTACTCTTATTGTACCTTGTTATGCTGTGGTTGGTTGATATCCCTGCTCTTTTCTGACAGGAAACAGAGGAGTGGATCTGGGAGACTTGGAGGGGAGAACTGGGAAGAAGAGAGAGAGGGCAAACTGCAGTCAAGACGCTTAGAGAGAGAAGAATTTTTAAAAATTGAAATAAACTGAAGGGAGAACCACGACTGAGCTGAAAGAGTTTTCTTTGGTTATAAAAGTCTAGAAGTTTAAAAGATGCCCTCAGGGAAAGACTGTGTGGGCAGAAGGGGACCACACAGTGTCAATGGGCCAAAGAGATTGTACCTTTGCCTGAACCAAGTGACCCACTGAACAAGAATATTCAACAAGGTATGGCAGAGACCATATGCGGCAGACGATTGTAAAAGTAGGTTTTAATCAATCCATTATCCTCCTCTGAAAACCTCTCGATGTGATCAGCTGGGCCACCTGGCGGCCAAAATACACTTCAGAAAGTGAAATAATTACCGATTAGTGTTGAAATAAGAGCGGCGGAGCTGCATCCCTGGCACCCGGCCGCCCACATGGCTAGCTCTAGCTTATGCCCGAAATAATTACACGGAAACTATATTCTTTTAAACACCGCTTGGCCCATTATATCTAGCCTTTTCTCGGCTAACTCTCGCACCTGGACTAGCCCATTTCTTATAATCTGTGTAGCCCACGCGCTGGCTTACCAGGAATGATCTTAACCTGCGTCTGCCCAGGAGAGGGGAGCATGGCGTCTCTGCTCCAGAGAGCAGCTGTCGAGTCTGAGCTCACTTCCTCTTCCTCCCAGCATTCTGTTCTGTCTACTCTGCCTATCTAAATTCTACCCTATCAGACCAAGCAGTTTTCTTTATTAGTTAACCAATGAAAGCAACAGATAGACAGATGACCCACCTCCATCAGGTTAGGCAGCTAACATTTAGAAAAATTCTTGTCAAAAGAAACTTCTGGTCTTTAACATAATTAATTGATCTGTCTAAATAATAAATAGCTACTGGGAGAAAAATCTTCTTTCATTCTATTCTGGATCGTTCCATGCAATGTGTTTATCTTTCCATTGGCTTTAGTGAATTACAAAAAGTTCTTTTCCTTTTTTTTTTTTTTTGGCCATTCAAAAGTCAAATCAGACCATTTAGTCATAAATATAGAACGTGATCAAACTACTTGAAACTGCTTCATTTTTTGAGGAAAGTGTCAGTCTATTCCATTTCTTCTAACCATGATGATAAAAACCAGGTTTTGAAAACATTTCCCAGGCTCTGCTGCCTGCACTCTTTCCAGAGGCTTTAAGTCCAAGCACCCCAGAGAGGCTGTTAAAGGCTCCCTGTGAACTGACACACACTGGCACCTCACTCAGCAAATGCCTTGGTC